GCACGAGAAGTGCAAAAACGCATAATCGCACCGGCCCGCCTGGTGCGTTCCAGCCTGGGTTGTAGAGAAAAATCATTCACACAGCAGGTAAATCGTTTGGGAGACAAAATAAAAATCAATACTGTCAGTGGGCTGACTATAAAAATGGATTTGTATGTGTGTTTGTGTGTATATATATGTATATGTATCTATATATGTATGTGTATATATATATATGTATATATATGTACATATATGTGTATGTATGTATTTTACATGTATATTATATATATCATATATAAAATGTATGTATGTATGAACATACATACGTGTGTTTGTGATATGTGGTGTGTGATATGTACGTGTGTGTGTGTGTATGTATGTGATGTATGTGCGTATTTATCTATTTATGTTTACGTTTATGTGTTTGTATGGGTGTGTGTGTGTCTGTGTGTGTGTGTATGTGTTCGCCAGAATTAATTTCGTGTAATTCGAGAACAGAGAGGGAGAGAGAGAGAGTGCCACAAAGAGAGTGATTTGATCGGTTGTGAAATGTGACCCAGTTAATAATAATCCCTCAACATTTCGCGAGTTCATCCTCCGTTCTCCCCAACGTTTTACCTTCTCCCTCATGTTTATTCCTACTGGCACGAAGGGACACTGTGCCTCCGGCAACTGCACTTCCATGAATCGGCCAATTCTGGGGAATAAATGAGCTGGATCAGACTGTTCCCAACCGATACTTCCAGAAAAAATCTCAGCTACTCTTCGGCCAAAAGCCCCATCTCCTGGAGGAGCTGAGGGCCGGCAGTGGTTTAATTCTCCGGGTCGGAGCGGACTGGGAGGAGTGGGTTTATCGAGTGCAAACAAGCTCAGCCTGTGGGTAATAAATCCGAAATAGGAGGCGCGGTTTACAAGGTGCCCCTATCGGTTTCTCATGTCCAGCCTCAAAATTTAGTGCTTATCGAAAGTTAACAATTTTGAGTGCAATACCCAAAACCCCACCTGAACAAGGCAACTCAAACTCAAAAGCGAGTGCATTTTGCTCGGCCGAGCCGTGTTTTAGTAAATGTCGGCCTCATGTGATCAAGCGGGTGGACGGGTTACGTCATTTCAACAGCGCGTTCGTTGGACTAGTGGGGTACGCGTCGTCGTGGGTGTGTGTGTGTCGGGGAGGGGTGTGGGGGGGTTGTTTGTCGTGCTCACGTATGCGAGTGGTGTTTCAGGCTGATTGTCGGACATGGCTGAGCTGGAAGTGGCCGAGAGTTACCGGGCGGCACGTCAGGCGGCGGCGCAACGGAAGTACGACCAGTGCGGTGTGTTTCTTCGCATTGCTATTTCGCAGGTGGAGCGCCATCTGAATCGCCTGGCCGTTGACGACCCGAGCAGGCAGCAGCTCAT